ATTAGTTTGTTTGATTGTTTGAATTTAAACACAAAGCTACACAATGTGCTGTCTGCGCTTGCCCACCACGGGTTTCTAGCGTTGTATGTCCTCAGACTTACCGCTGTGCGGGTTCTACGCCATGATAGATCAGCAATGAAGCTAATTTTATTTATAGGATTTCAACTTTCTTCTTATATTTCTGAAAAACGCTCTTGATGACACCTGTATTGTCAACTGCCGACGAATCCATTCTGGCTTTAATGAGTGCCATGTCTTGTGAGTGAAAAGCTGGAGAACGCTGTTGCGACTACTTAAACATCACTTTATCACGCATGGCTAACCTATCGTTTATTCAAAAAGAATTTCGTGATCTATTGCGTTTAAAACTTTATATACTGATCATTCATAAGCTTTAGGTTAATAAAGAGAGTGTACCAGTTATTCAGGAATAAGAATTGTTCGTTCTGTTGACTCCATATTTCTAAATCTCAGAAGCTTTTCCACTATTCTGTCTACCAAATCAACAAAAAATGAAAGTATAGAAGCTACAGGTAATAGTAGAAACCCTCCTTTCTATATTATTAAGATTCTTTTCTTCTTAAAGTAGCATGAACAGTCCTTTTCAGGACAATGTAGATAGTTAGATAAAATTAATCTGTGCATAATCACATCAGTAAATCGTACACTATACAAATAGTGTAATATTGATCACTGAAACGATCACTCGATTTGTTAAACATTTTTACCTTACTAGTTTGTGTAATATATGTACACATTCTTACGACTTAAGACTTGTTTTAGTGATCGATTTATTTAATGCTGTACTCCATCATAGCTAGTAGGGTGAGTAGGATTATAATAAATAGATATTAGCGTTTGATCCACAATAAACATTATTTACTTTATAAATCGTCTGAATACTTGACCCCACTTACTTTTATTCGGTTTACTACTTGTACTGTTTCTAACAGTAATATATTATTTGTCCGTTACAACAGGCGTTACTAATACTTACTCGACTCAGAATGCTACTAAGTTTAAAGGGTAGACAACAATCCACGCTGACATCAAATATACAAATAATACAGTATTACTTTACTAAAAATGAACCCATTTAGATACGACAAGCTTGGATCTTGCTCTCTTAGTTGTTGCTTCGTATACTGTAATTTGTGATTGTTTCTTACGAGTTCTTGCAGTATTCATATCTGATCGGTGATCTCCAAAATTTTCCCATCCATTAAGATTAAAAGTATTTCGTTTACGTAGTGCATCATTCACGAGATCGATTATATTGCTATCAGAGACGGATCGTCTACTAACCATAAATTCTCCTCGATCATTCCCATTCTGAAGTTTACAGGGTTAATTATCCTGTTTTAAATTTGTTTGAAAGATTTAACGAGTCATATATTTCTTATCCTTCAGTCAAACAACCAATTCAGGTTTAGAAATTTCGTCGATACATGTAAATAAATACTTAAAATCATTGTTATAGTGTCTTAAACTAGAAAAATCCTCCGATTATCATGCCGATTTAGTTTTAACTTATATATTTATTTGTATTACCTATGTTTTACAAAGGCAAATGGTATTTCTATAGGCGGACAGTGTTACTATACTTCTGTAATACGTGTCTCATGTATGATTATAGTTTTTATATATTTAACTGCATTACATGTGTTTCTATCAGTTGATGGTGTTACTAATACAGTTAACATACATTTGAATTTTATCTATCACATCTAATGTATCGATTTCATACATATTAAGCAAGACAGTTACAATAGTATTGCATAGCTGACTCTATTTTGTTTTTTAATTTAAGTATTGATTTAGTATACCGATTATAGTTTTTGCTTTTTATATTTATTTTGCATGATATACGTTTTGGACTTTATGACATTATATAAGTAAAATACTTATCGTTAATGTGTTTGTTTTTATTTTTGAAATTAGTATATGTCTAACATCTATTTGCACTGAAATGGACGCTTATTTAAATTCCTAACTATTGTACAATTTTCATGTTAGCTTTAAAAGTTGATATTCTTCCCTAAACATTGGTTTAAATAATCTAGATGAATAGTTACGTTTAACTGT